TATGTTACCAATGTAGCACTGCAAACTCCTGCGAAACAGATGTATCCGCCAATGACCTGTCTAAAACTCATCCTCATCTCCATTGCTCCCCTAGGAGGTAGGGAGGTAGAGAAAGATGCCAGGGTACTTTTTTCCTACTCTCAATAGCATAACAATCAGTATTAAACTTAGTTATACAAGGTTTATCGTTGAAAAATTAGGGTCACTGCCAGGAAAACACACTTAGTCCTGGAATGTGAGAAATAGCAAGAAACTGTCAGATCATTTATGAACACAGTCTCTCATTGAACAGATGAGAAAATTGAGCCCAGTGAAATGGTGATTTACCTAAGATCATTCTGCTAAGAGATTTGTTTTTACTTAGTGTTCTGTCTACCACATGGTTATGGTACATCTAGAGGCACCCATAGATAGTCATTGGACTTTACGAGTCATAGTAACCCACTCAGTAAACATGCATACATACCATATGCTGGGCATTAAGCTAGGCATGGACAATACTAGGAGAAAACTCCTCTGCTTTTGAGTACTATGTAATCCATTATTTTGAAATATTTCTCATTTTATGAAGTGTCTTGAGTAATTTCAGAAAACCCAACTGAACCATTTGGGGTTGATTTTCTGGTAAGTCAATATCTAATATTTTATGCCTACCTATAGTCATGTTTACATGCTATCTTATTGAAATTTATAAGAAAAATAGTACATGAATAAATGGTCATTTTATTTATTTATTTTTTTCTCTATTGATGTAAGAGAGAGAGGAAGGGAGAGAGAAGAGAGAGATAGAAACATTGATGAGAGATAACATCGGTTGGTTGCCTCCTGCATGCCCTCCACTGGGGATCAGACCCACAATCAAACCTGCGACCTCTTGGTGCACGGGTCTTCGCTCAACCACTGAGCTACACCAGCCAGGGGATAAATGGCCATTTCAAAATGTATATGTAGTTGGAAATAGTTGGAGGTTTATAGTCCAAGCTTTTATAGACCTCTTTCTCCATGGAATGGTTGAGCAAGAAAACTGTATAAGTAGAAAGAGAGTATTTTGCCTGAGCACTGGATTCCTGTAAACTTGGATACAATGTCACACGGTCTCCTCTTAGAGAATTAAATACCTAGAGATGGGGAGAGGTTGACGTTCACAGAAACCAGCGCTTCTGTACTCTGTAACATTTTACATTTAAATGGGACTGGGAGAAATTGGTTGCATCTCAATCATTACCTTTGTGTATAGCTGACATGATGTAGTGACACAACAGACCTGGATTAGAATCTCAACTCCACAATTTCTTACTTGGAAGTGAACCTGGACCATTTGTGTCCTCATCAATAAAATGAGGTCAGTGATCCCTGCTCTTCCCACAGGCTAGAGGAAGTATAAGTGCAAGTGTTTATATATACTAAGACACTATAAAAGACCAAGTTCTGTTATTCCCAATCCTGACTTTTCTCCTGAGATCCATCTCTCTATATTCAAGTACCAACGGTCTTGCTCCTTGACTCGTAATAGCTTCCAAATGCTTCCCCTGCTATTAACCTGTTCTTCACAAAGTTACCAGGTTGGTCTTCATGAAATCTCGCTTTCATCACGCCATTCTAAAGTCTGTTTCCCCCTATGGGAATGAGTTCAAGCATGGTTTAGAAATTTAGAAACTGTTCCAAATCTCATAGTATTTATTCTCTGAGATTTATTGCTTACTAAACTATCCATCTCCCCTCCCCCACAACACACGTACACAACCCAATCAAATTAAACCCCATTTTCCAGTTTTTGCTCTTCCCATGTATTTTGTCTACCTGGAATGCACAATTCTGTGTTCTCTAGATCATCCCATCTCTGCAGACCAATCCCTTAGGAGGCCAAGGGCCATTTCCCGACACAATGCATTCAATATTCTTATTAGCAAAATGGAAACAATAATACATACTTTTTAGAATAGAAGTGAGAAGGAAATGAGATTACATATGCGGAACCTGACACATTTGAGGCATTTAGTTGGTGCTCAGTATGATAGCTTTTGCCATTACCCCCTTATTCAATTACTGCAAAAGGAATGTAAGCTTCAGAATATTCTTTGTGAGATGTCTTTTCACATGTAGTAGCCAAAAGCAAATTAAGTGATTTACACTCTTAGCTATACACCCAGGAGAAATGATTGCATATGTCTACCAAAAGATGTGTACAAGAACATTTACAGCAGGTTTACTCATAATAGACAAAAAATGGAAGCAATCCAAATATGCATCAATTGGAGAATAAATAAATGTCATATTAGTCATGTAGCAAAATACTACACAGCAATAAAAAAACTAAAGATGCGTCTACATGGGTGAATCTCACAGACACAATGATAAATGAAAAATAAGACATAAGAGTAAGGGTGTACAGTCTAAGTTTCTATATTTATGAAATTCAAGAACATTAATCTTTGAAGACGGAAATCAGAATAGTGATTACCACAGGGGGAGAGGGGTTCTGACTAAGAAGGGACAGATAAACTTCTTGGAGAACCAGAAATTATGTGGGTAGTGTTCACGTGGACACATATAGGCAAAAATTCATCAAACTGTACACTTGTGGAATTTTGTTAATGTACACTATACCATATTAGCTTTTTTTATTTTTATTTTTATTTTTTTTAAACAGGGCTTAGGACTCCATCAGTGAAGAAAGTATAGGCAAGTTTTTTGTTGTTGTTGTTGTTGTTTTTCCCCCCCAAGTTGTTTTCTTTCTTTCTATTTAGTCTCCCAACTTCATCCCCTTTCCTTCTTCCTTAGAGATCTTGGAAATTTTAATTTCTTTCCACTGTAAATGATAAAAATTTGTTCAACTACTCCTTCCTTTTATTCACTCCCTTCCCCAATTTTATGAGAGTCTCAGCATCTAATGTCTTATCCCCCTGGGGCAAGTTCAGGGGGCCTCTGTCACTAAGAAACAATAAATAACTCAATAGTTGGACAGCAAAAGATGTCGGTTGTCAGGGGTTTACTTGGATATTTTATCCAATAGGAGAGTTGGAGACCCTCTGGGACCACAGCGCCCTGACACATTTTGTAGCTTAGGCAAACAAACACCTGCAGGTGGAGAAGGCCAGTCAACCCTGCATAAGATACAGAGGAGGGGATACAGGTGACAGTGATGGGTAGTTGAGGCTAAGGCTGTGTGTGTGATGAATATTTCTAATTTCCCCCCATTCATCCAGAACTTCTGGTTCTATGATTTTTTGTGTGTGTTTTTTTTTTTAGCTAATCCTTAATTATATTACTTTGACATTCATTAAACTTCTGCATTCCTTTACTTTTTCCATGTTTTAAAAACAAAATAATCTTTGCTGTTGCTCTTCATTGAAGGACTAAATCAAAACACTTCACTCCCTTTCTGACTGTGTGTCCTCTCTATTTCTCCCACCACATGACTTACTGTGAAATCCCCAAATTCCATTGCCAGCTCCCACCCCAAGCTCTTCCGTTGAATTGGAGTTTTCTTCAACTATGGGTCTCCCCTGTTCTTGCCAAAATTTAGTGTAGCATGCTAGTTAGCTGGACATAATTCAGTTTTGCTTCATTAGGATATCAAGGATTATTTCACACTCTTTGATTCAAAGTTAATGTCTCTCTCCCTTTCTCTCCCTCTCTCTTTCTCTCTCCCCCTCTCTCCTTCTCCCCCTGTATCCCCTTCTCCCTCTCTCCTTCTCCCTCCCCCCCCCCTCCGTTCACAGCCTCAGCTACAGCACCTGCTTCACAGGAACAAAGCTAGTCCTGTTCTGAATCTCTGGTCTCCCTTTAAAAACCAAGTGGAGATCCCCAATCCCTCTTCCTGACACTCGCTGGAGTGAAAGGAGACACACAGAAGGAAAATGGGGAAGGCAGAATGATCCCCTCTCCTGGAAGCAGGATACGGCCCCCCCCCCCCCGTTAATTTCTCCCCAGAAGTTTTTCTTGCCTTTGTTTTCACCATCCTGGTTTGGGGACCCAATGTCTCTAGATTTAGCTATTCAAGGTCTCTAAATCTGTTTCTCTCTCTCTCTCCTCTTTTGAGTTTCTCCTATCTTGCCTCTTTCCCTGGCTCGCTCTCTCTCCCACCCCTCACCTCTCTCTCTCTCTCTCTCTCTCTCTCTCTCTCTCTCTCTCAATCCCACCCCTCACCTCCCCCCCCCCCCCCCCCCCACACACACACAGAGTGATATAAGTATTTCTCACTTGGGGGCTCATTTCTAATTAAGTACTTCAGGACCAAGAGACTAAAATACACAAAGCAATGGAATAAGATCTCAAATTGGAAGGAGAAGGACTCAGATGGGTCCCTATCTATCTCTGGGAGTCCCAGTGAAGCAAACAAAATGGTCTGGGACAAATGATTATTGTAACTCAGGAACAGGAGAAGAAAATCGAACCTTCTTCCCAACCTTCTTCCCGTTCCTTGGCCTCCGCACACTCTCCAGCTCCCGCCAGGCACGTATCCGAGCCCACGGGATCCACACCGAACAGTCCGCGGCACCGCGGGAGGGTTAACTGAGCCGGTCCCCACCGGCCCTCTGGCCAAAGGAGACCGCGGGGAGGCTCCGAGCCCGCCCCCTGCCAAGCCGCCAGCCAATGGGCGCCTGTGGGGACGGTGGCGCTGTGTCCCATTGGCTGCCAACCTACGCGCAGAAGAGAGAGCGAGCGAGAGGCAGGCCCGGCAGCATTGTTATCCTAAGACACTCCTCGGGGGTCGGAGTCTGCAGGTGACACTGCCTAGGTGCAGGACCCGAGCCAGCCGACGCGGCTGCAGCCCGGGCAGGATCCGCCGGCCTCGGGAGCTGCTGGGGCGGCTGGGCAGGTCTCGGCTGCGCGGGAGCATCCGGTTCGCGCTGGCCCGCGGACGGGCACCTGCCGAGCGCTGCGAGCCGGGCTCAGGTCTGCGGGCGGCCGAGCGAGCGCTGACGCCGGGGAGCGGGCTTTGCCCATGTGCGAGGCAGAGATTTCGGGAGAGAGAGCGGGCGCGTGAATCCCTTTAGAGTTGCAAGGAGGCGAGACCCTGGGTTCCTCTTCGGCGGACGGACAGGGGACTCCCCCGGTTGGGTGTTGCACTTTCCTTCCCGCTCCCACCCGCGTGCGCCCCGGCGGGGCGCCGAAGCCCCACTTCCAACCTGCTTCGGGGGCCGGGATCCCGGCTGCTTAGCGGGAAGACGGTCGGCAAGTGGTCTGGCGGCGGCGGCGGCGGCAAAGCCAGGAGCCGGAGAATTTGAAAAGAGACTCCCTTCACCTCTCTCACGCTGAAAGGCGAGGCACCCGCGTTTCCCAGACGAGAAAGAGCCACAAGAAAGCATGAAGTAGAAACTTGGGAAGGCTGCCACTGGAGATGTTGCACAAAAACCTGCAATCTTTTAGGGGTCTCCTCCCAGTCGGCGGAGGTTTGGGGAGCAGCTGATACAGCCAGGAGGGCTCTTGCAAGGATTCAAGGTAACCGAGCAGGGTTTGGGTGGTTTTTCTCGGTCCTCTTTTCTTTGTGCTTTTGGTGTGTTCCTTGGTAAGGGTGTCATGGGCCGCGCTACAACCCTGATGCCCTGGTGCCTGGCAGTTGCAGGCAGAAGGAAGGATCCCATCTGGTAGTTGCTGTTTGATGGAGCTGAGCAGTGCACTGGGGGTTTCGCTGGAGATGGCCCTGTTACCGCTTCCTCGTGTGCATGCCTGCACTCGGCTTGGACACTCTGCCTGACCTATATTGCTTTTGCCTGGTCCAACTCCTCAAAGTTAGTGCAACTCCCATTAGCTTCAGAAAATCCAGGCAGGCTGCATAATTGCAGAAAATGCCTAGGACCCTGCCTGCTGAGCTGAGACTGTACGTGTTCACTATGTTGGAGAAGGACCCCGAAGAGCTGAGGTCATGCTACGTGATACATCTGTATTCACATGTTCCGAGAGCTCCGTGACATGCTTGTAGCGGGCTGTCTCTTTTTCCCAGGCACATGCAGCTAAGGAAGAAAATTCTGAAGAGTGAACCCTGTAGGCTGCAAATTGTCTCCCCAGGGTGTTGGCAGGAGCCCATGGATTGAGTTGAGCCTGGCCGCACACTGGAAGGAGGGGCGTGCTGACATTATCTAGCCATCTCTCTCCCTGGTTCTGTGATCGCCTGAGTACACAGTCTAATGCTGCCTGGGGTGTGTGTGTGTGTGTGCATGTGCATGTCTGTGCTCACAGCTGTGTGCAGGAAGCTAGCTGCCGACAGAAGAACCATGCATGTGCAGTGTGCTCCCCAGGCCCCTGAGGCTGGAGTGATCCTTCTTAGTAGGAGCCGGAACTTGGGAGCTGCTGTGCCAGCCCGGAGGAGTTTTCTCCTCACCAAGCAGTTCCTCTGCCTGGTACATATTTATCCAGGGTATATAGACCAAAGCCAAATATTAGCTAATAATCAAGCCGATGTACTGTAACACAATTGAACAGACCCCTCTGTAGAGAAAGAACTGTGTGTGCGTTCTTCCTAGCCCTGGGAGCCAGTGCCCTGGGCAGGAAGAAATGGTTTGTGGAAAAGAGAGCAATTAAAACAGGCCTGCTTATAGCTGGGTAATCTGGGCCTTATCCTGCAGGGACAATGATATGTCAGCACAGACCAATCAGGAGGTTGAAAGGTACATTGTCAGCCAAGTATTTCTGCCTCTATTCTTCTCCAGACATGGACACACGGAAGGTACACTCTCTGACCACGCTCTCCAGAATGCATGCAATGCCAGTATTAACCAAGCAGCTCAAGTATTTCACAGAATCCCCTGGGGGGCAGTCTGATGACATCAGGCAACAGCAAAGGGATGCTGGAGTTGATGTGTTCTCCCTTTTGACTTAACACAGTTGTGTGTGTGTTATTTGTTTAAGGCAGGGCTCTCGGAGTTCCCTCTGAGCCAGAATAAGTTGCTTTGCAGTGTTTGGGGCATGACCAAGCAATGCTACCACTGTGGTCCTGGAATCTCACCAACGTCACTGCTGCTGCTACTTTGGGGAGAGATGCATGCTTTGCTTCTTGAGGGGGGGATATGATTGGGGTAGGTGCAGAGCATGGGCACGGATGTTTGAGGAAAAGGTAGCAAATGTCAGACCACGGTCTTCCCTGCTGGAGGGCAGCTGCCTCCAGAGGGTTTGACAGCTGGGCTGCAGGCATAGAGAAGACAGAAGCATCCCTGACTCCGGCCTCTCCCTACTCACCAAACACGAGGCCAACTTGTGTCCCAGAATGGGGTGCTGTGTGCTGCTGTGTGGGCACGAGAGGAGGACAGCAGGGGAGGGCTGGGGAGGGAGGAGGGTTCCTGCTCTCTTAGCACTAGGCCAGTCTCAAGGAGGGGGTGCATCTTCCCCTGCTCAGCCCTTAAAGAGCATCCTCTGGGTGTTCCTTTCTGGCCTCCCAACAGGTTGTTTACCGAGCAAGGCCAGAGGTCAGAGAACATCCCTGCGTCATCAACTCCTTCTGATCCCCTTTCCCCAGGCACAGGTCAGCCACTGGGGAGCATCACATCCAAGAGAGCCCCTCTGGGATGGTGCCCCAAATCCCTCCCCTGCTCACAAACAAGAGGTAATCTGGAGGGACCAGAGACATCTGTGTGTGCACTTTCTGCTGACTGGGATGCTTAGCGTTGAGGTTTCCTGGTTAGTGGTTTGTTTTCCCCACTGTGCAGTATATTTTTGGCAATTCAAGTCTTTTCTCTTAAATAAGACCTTGTCTACATTTTATAATGGCATCCCTTTTCCAGAGGGCTGGGGGCACTGGAGGGAGCTCATCTAATTAATCCTCACATGGCTTATTGTCTCATTAATCTTTGATTACCCTAAGAAGTAGAGCTAGAATGATTTTAGCCTCCTTCTCGGAAAAGCAAGGGCAGAGGATCTCAGGAAGATGAATCAACTCCTTTACTCAGGGTCACAGGGCAATTAAGGGAACCTAGGGGGTGGGGGGTGGGTCTCATCACGGCTAAGCCAACCCCAGGCTCCGTGACTTATCCTAAGGACTGGCTTCATCTTGTGACTGTGATTTGGTTCAATATTTCTGTACCCTGCAGAAATGGGAGATGGCAATGATGGCACCTTCTCCGTGGGCGCTGACCTACGGGCTGTGAGGGCTCAAGTCTTACCAGTCCTCGCTTTTGCCCCCAGTGATCTTACAGTCTAGTTGGGGAAACACGCTTCCATCTGGGAAATACACATGGTAGCAGCAGTTCAATACGAGAGAGGCATGAGGCTGACCTAATTAATCTAAGATTGATTGGTCCAGATAATGAGAGTGATCAGTATTGCAAGGAGGGGCCGTCTGCACTCCTGGGTGGGGGTGGGGCTTGTGTGAAGAGGGAGAAATGGGGATTGGGCTCCAGCCCACAGAGACGCTGAGGGCAGCAGAAGTTGGGAGGGCTGGACACACCAGGCTCCCGTGACTCCGTGGGGTCCGCCCGAGCCAGGGCTCCACTTGCGTCTGGAAAGAGCGACACTTGGGTTCACGATGTGAGACACTTGTAAAGGAAGCTGCTCTGGGACCAGGCAGAGGACGGACGTGTTGGATCTCTTGCCCAGCCTTCCACCCTAGAGCTCAAGGTCAGAGAGCTGATCAACACCATGTCCAGAAAGAACTGGCTGAAGATCTTGAGGGAAAGCAAGCATATTTCCAGAGACCATGAGAAAATATGTTCAGATTTTAGAATCAGACTATCCTAAGAGAGAACCTTGCTCTTCCTTCATTTCCTGTTTCCCCACCCAAAAGTCCCTGTTGGGGTTGACTCAGAGCCGGCAGCATACCAGAGCCCTCAGGCATTTTGCACTGAGCAGGAGATTTTCAATCTTAAGACTCCTGAGCATGTCCATGTACATAACCTCGTGTCTCCCCTCCTCTGTCCCTTTTAATAAAACATATGCTCTGGCAGTCACAAAGGAGGAGGCCACCAAAAGCAGAAGGGACAGCAGGATCACCTGCAGCTGAACCGCCGGGCACCGTGGCTGCTCAGCAGCGGGGAGAGGCAATCTGCCAGCCCGGGCAGTGCCAAGGAAGGGCCAAGGGCTGCAGACCACCAGGGGCCGGCTGTGACCGCTCAGCCACGCACCTGCTCTGGCAGTCAGCCTGGTCTCCTGGGGGAAGGTCAGGGCAAAGCACAGGTCTTGTGAGAGAAGCACCCTGTTCCTTGGTCTTCACTGGGGTTGAGACAGCTCTTCACCCTGCATGTCCCTGGTTGCGGGGGTGGCCCCGTTCCAACATGGAGCAAGTCCCTGTCGGGTGCTGAGAGTGAAATGACCTGCCTAAAGTCACATCCTATTTGCTCTCGGGTCCAGAGGAAAATCCAGTTTGTTGGATTGCTTAGTCCCAGGAGTTTGCCCTGGGGACAAGTCCTGAGGGACATGCAGTTTCTCTTGAAAATCCTCCCCTTGGCCGTGTCACCTTTCTCTCTGGTGTTCAGTGACCACGCCGCTGGACAGTGGGGCCGCCGCTTTTTTTCTTTATTAATTGCAAGTATCCACAGCTGTGTTTGGGGGCTAAGGTGGAGGTCCAGGCTCATGTGTCTATGGCTCGGATTGTGGTCACAGCCTCTTCTCTGTGGGAATGAGGAGGCTGTCGGCTCAGGTAGGCGTCAGCCTGGGGCCGCAGGGGCCCGTCTCACCTGACCCATTAGGGATGCAGTTTGATCTCTCCTGAGACTCACTCTGCCATGCGGATGGGAGTCAAGTTGAGGACCGTGACGAGGGTGTGGGACCTCAGCAGCCAGTTCCCCCACTCCTGTTACTGAAGCGCACGTGAAATGCAGGCATTTGCGGGGTGCTGGACTGGGCAGAGGGCGTGGGCGATCGGATGGCCCTCAAGACCGATCTCTGGCCTGTGGCAAGCTGCCAACACACTCGCAACCCGCCACGTGGGAGCGTGAGAATGCACACGTGTGCTGCAAGTGCAAAATACAGTCTGAAGACTTGGCTTTAAAAAAAGAATGTAAAACATCCGATCGGTACTTTTTAAATATTGATTCCATGTTCAAATGATTGGGTTAAATTCAATATATATCAAATCAGTTTCATCCATCTCGTACGACTCCTTAATGTGGCTACTAGAAAAATTGAATCACATGTGTGGCTCACATTATGTTTCTTTTGGACAGCGCTGGTCTAGGCCCTGCGGAGCATGAGACCGGAGGGGCCAGAGATGTGGGGAGAGAGTGCATGCGGGAGGGCTGATGGGCATCTCAGAGCACTGGGGCACATGTCTCTGAAGTGTGAGGTGAAGGAGGGCGCAGGGAGCTTACGCTGGCCCCTCTCTGAGGAGTCCTCAGCTGGCTCAGCCCCCGGGGCCTCTGAGTGGTGCTGCAGCTGTATCTCACATGCAACAATGAGCAGGTGGGCCGCCTGGCCAGTTCATCCGCACAGTTTTGAGTTCCTGCCTGACAGTGGAAATAACCGCAGAAATCATCTGTAGGGTTTCACTCCAAAGTGTGAGGACACAATAGTTG